CTCCTTCTCTAGGCTTGAGCAAATTGGTATTGGGATGAAACCTCACCTGGGGAATTTTATGTCATTCAGTAGTTAAGTCTATTTTTTTTTTTTAAGTTTCCCTGTGTCTGAATGCACCAAGTGGCTGTTGAGTTTCTATGAAATGGAGGCTTAACTGCAGCACACACTCTAAATGCAAAATCCTTAGATGGAAGTTTAATTGTGTAAAATGCACACAAAGTAATTAAGAACAAATTTTAAAACATTTCGGACTATAAAGTCTCCTTTCAGCTATATTGAAAACGCTTATTTTCAATTTGTAGTTATGCCAAGAAACATAGGATATGTCTAAATTGAGAATTTTTTTTTTAACCGAGTGCTTTTTAGTGCAAGTGTAAATGTAGAACCTGTCCCATTGCATTACTGATGGCCTGAGCTGGTGACCTGATCCGAGTCTGCCTCCACTGCTTCGGGCTGCATTGCCTTTCCTTCCTGTACAGTTCCACGGCGGTAGCTACTCCAATGTCGTGCTGTTACTCTGTGTTTTCTACCCTGACTTTCTGTTAAAATACAAAAGGGTTCTCTATCTATCTATCTATCTATCTATCTATCTATCTATCTATCTATCTATCTATCATCTATCTATCTGTCTGTCTATCTGTCTGTCTATCTGTGTGTATATGTGTGTGTGTGTCCACACAGAGGCCCAAATATATTTATTGTTTACACTATAAAACCCAAGTTATTTCAGTGCTGCTACCTCCAGAACAATCCTAGGTTGTGGTTAGCCAAGTCAAAGGTCACGAGCTGACTCTGAGGAACGTTTGTAGCTTCACAGTTAAATGTTAGTGATTCCTGTTATTTCAGTGTGTTCCCAACTTGTGACCATGTCCACAGCCTCCTTTTCCTGCCCTTTACAAGAAATGTCCCATAACCCCTGCTGAGCAGTTTGTGGACTCTTAAGTATTTGGAATTATAATGCACTTGTTTATTTAACATTAAAAAGAATCCTTCCCCGCCTCCTGCCCCCTCCACCCCAGCCACCAAACAGTAAACCTGTTTCAGGTCCTGTGTAGACTCAGCCATTCTCCTCTTGGGAATGAAAGGACGCGAGACTGTGTGGGTGGATTGCTGGCATGCCTTCATTTTTCAGTGCACTTTTTTAAACCACTGGACGTAAGCTGCCCATATTTAAATGCTTCCCTGTAAAGATGACAGAGCGGGTGGAGAGTCCTATTGGCTGAGCCCTAATCTGTTTGCTTTGTTGCAATCTTTCTTCCCCCCCCCCACTTCAACTGTTAACCTATTTATAAATCTAAATCTACACACAGAGGTCACTGGTTGGCTGAACTTAAACCATTTTACTCAGTAAATTTAATTAAGAAAATACAGTGCAACTCATAAGCAAATGAGTTTTTTCCTAGTTTTAAACCAAACCACCCTCTTGAGTGCTGATTGCCTTGCCCGACCCCTGGTGATACAGAAACAGGCAAAATTAAAAAGGACATTAAAGCTTCATTAAATCTGAAACACATTTAGTACAGTGACATATCTGCAGGCCATTTCAGAGAAGATTACATACTCTCTTTTGTAAGTTTCCTAATTTATAATACCTTGACAATCAAAACTGGGGAAATGCAAGGTGATTAATAGGCCAGTAGGCTAAGAGACACGGACCAGGCCAGACCCAGCCATCCGACTGCTCACAGCATACGTGCTCCCTCCCCCGGAAGGAGTCAGTGTTTGTTTTGACTTTTGTGAAGAAGTTCTTCGTGCAGCCATGTCTGCTCAGAGTGCACTTTCTCCTTCCACCTGATAGCCTGATGAAGGGGTTCTGGGCCTCACTTTGTGTTCCTCTCCACTTGGTCATGAGACAGGGGTTGGTGAGTGCACAGCTCTGGGGCCCCATTAGACTGAAGGATAAGGACACACATGGAAGGCAGAGTCCTCTGAAGGGGCCTTCAAACAACTGCCTTCACTGCAGCCCAGTTACACTCTGCCTGAGCTCAATAGTGTAGAGCTGGGACCCTTAAGTCTCCTGCCATAGCAGCCCAGTGATGACACTCCGTAAAAGAAGAAGTGACCATCCTGTACCAAGGGCAAGGGACCCTTCTGTGTCATGTAAATCCAGAGTTCACATCTGCAAGATGCCAGGTAGGACTGAGGTCCCAGTGGATAGATGTCAGGGAAACATAAAACAAAGTTAAACCCAAGAGTGCCACTCGCCCCAGGTCAGCCACTGCTGCTTGTTCCACCACCAGCCTGCCACACCAAGTCTTCTCTGGTCTCCTGCATAGCTTTTATACATTAGTAAGTATATAGATTTTTAAGATATAAATTTAAGGTATCATTATTTCATTTGGTGGATTTCCTTAATCTTTTCACATACAATGAGAAAACATATAAATGAGGCACAAGAAAGAGGATGGATGCTCACCTAAATCAGATGAATGAGACCAGCCATCCTTGCTTCCCTGTCCCAGTTATGCCAGAGGGGCAGGTGCATGCATGCACACACTCCTGTCTGCTGGACACCAGCTGTAGGCCGATGATGACTGGCAAGTCAGAGGCCTGTGTTAAGATGAGAGAAATTCAATTCTCACATTATCCTGCTCTTGCTACTTAAGCCTTTTTCTTATTTTATTCGTCTGTGTTTGTTTTGGGGGAGGACCTCATTATGTGGCCCAGGCTGATGTTGAAGTCAGGATCCTACCACCATAGTTTTCCAGAGTGCTGAGATTACAAACACTACCACACCTGTCTCGTTTCTTGATTCTTTAAAGTGCAAGAACCAAGAGTGTTGGCACTGTGGGTCTCTTAGCTCTTGATAGTATGTGTGGTAGGCACATTGCTTCTGCCAGTCAGTCATGTGGGCAGAAATCTTCCATGGTCCCCAATGATGTGTTCAATCCATACTCACATGTAAGGAATTAAGCCAGAATGTTATAGGTGTGTTATAACAGATATCAGGCTCTTAGCCATTTTAAATGAGAGATCCTTCTTTTGTTGTCTCTTTACCCCAGATGAAATTCATACTCCACAGATCATTGTGATAATAGGTGACAACTTTTGGTTACTCCTCACTGCCTGTCAGGTCATTACAGAAGGGTACACCCACCACAACAGATCACAGTGACTCCTGAGTCAGTGTGCACATTCTCATTGGCAATCACTGTATTTTTCAACTCTAATATGAACCTCCAGCTTGTGTTGGGCAAGAGCTGAGTGGGGCAGTATAACAGCATTTAGACAGCAGCCAGAATCACACAAATCCCTGGACTGATTTAGGTGAGCATCCATCCTCTTTTCTGTGCCTCATTTATATATTTTCTCATTTGTATGTGAAAAGATTATAGAAATCCACCAAATGGAATAATGATACCTTAAATTTATATCTTAAAAACTATGTACTTACTAATGTATATAAGCTATGAGTACAAAGTGGCACTTAATTAGATACTTCAACACACACAGTACACACATGTGCACACACAAATATCCAAATGAGTGTTGACCTTTTCAAAGGAGTCTGCCATCCAAAGTCATATGGCTCATCCCTATTACATTACTGTTCAAACTGCCTTTAGAATTTTAAAAACCTCAACAGCCCAGTCTGTCTTTAGTGAGTGATCTTTGTAGGTATTTGGGGTTTGAATATACATGGGCCATTCGGGCATCATGCTACACAGAAGTCACATGATCACCAAGCTAAGGGGTATCTTTTAAAATCCAAGTGTTGATTAGTTCTCATAAAGTGAGAAAGGTATTCTTTTGTTTCATGAAATGATTCTAAACACCATTTTAAAAGAAGAGTTTTGGAAGTGTTTGAGCAACGTCAGTGTCTCTGAAACCAGTATGCAACTATCAAGCTGTCAGAAGGTTGTGCAGTGTGCTGGGAAGAACACTGGATGAAAAGCAGGTTTGGGGGACAGCCCCTAGATTTCTCTTGACTAACCATGTGAGAACCCCTTGAGGGACTCTAGGATTTGTATCTTCTCTCTAGGTCCATGTGCTCAGAGGCATTTTTGCTTCCTGGAGGTTACACTTGTACTTTGTAGGCAGTTCCAGGTGTATATGGAAGGTTCAGAACCGAGAGCGGGCCACCCTGGGAAGCTGCACAATTTCATCATTGTTTCCTTTAAATAGGTAATAGTCAGCCGGGTGTGGTGGTGCACGCCTTTAATCCTAGCACTTGGGAGGTAGAGGCAGGGGGATCTGTGATTTGAGGCCACCCTGCTCTACAGAGTGAGTTCTAGGACAGGACTGTGTACAAAGACCCTGTCTCAATAAACAGATAAATGTAAATAAGTTGTGGTTTATTTGTTCAGTCTGATCTTATTACGTTATATCAAGCCTATACTTGTCCAAGTCACTTAGTTTTTACATGTGAGTTAACAAAAGTGGCTAGCCCAGAGACAAAGAGCAGTATACAATCAAACTAGGCACGGGGGATGGGGGGACTAACTCTCCCAGGTTCAGATGGAGGCCTCTAGGACCACCCTCACAGCCTTGCATGGCCAGTTCCATGCCAGTAGGACCTGGAACTGACAGGGAAGCGTGAAGCAGGAAGTAGATGAGAATGATAGCGCAGGTTCCGACGTCATAATCTAGCCCCTCCCACTTCCTCCAACCTCTCCTTCAGACCTGTAGCCGAAACCCACAGAGCTGTGCTCTAGAACCAACTTACATGTGTACATCTCTGTCTCAAAGAAACTGTCACACACACATGCATGTGAATAGTGCTCCCAGCATTGAGAATTCACCCAAGAGAAAGTATGTGGGATAATGTTCAATTCTTGAAATTAGGTTATTTTTATCAGAGATAAAATATTGTCTATTAAAGAGGTCCATTCTAAATACAGTTTATAATGTAATTACAGCAATAATTTAGTTCGTGCATTAGCATTGTGGATGTTTTTTTATTTGCTAGATGCAATTCTGAAATGTAGTTCTTGTCTGTCTTAAGGAGATCTGCCCTGCATGCAAATCTATAACTAGACAAATATTATTTCCTTTCCCAGCTTGCTCTTGGGAGGTTTCCATATCCTCAGGTAAGATTGTTCATTACTACCATTTGCCACTGTGACATTTGCCACTGTGACATTCATTCCTATGTATGAAGGTGCAGGAAGCGATTGTGAACATTTGAGCCACATACAAATAAATCTGTCCTGTTAAAATGAAAAGCAGTATCTTAAAGCAATCATTAGAAGTCTCTATTGGCATTTTATTTAAAAACAAACAAACAAACAAAAAACTCTAGACTTTTTTCCCTTGTTAGAGATTGACTGAGACCCTCATGTTCCTCTTTGTATGACATTCGAGGTGTCCCTTCTGCCCAGCTCCATGTGCTCATGTAAAGGTTGGAGGAGGGGCGCACCCTTTTCTTCATACTTTTTATGAGCATTTTGGATTCAGTTAAAATTATTTGAGTCAAAAGATGAAAACAAAGGGTGAAAATATCTGATGTGGGTCATTGTCTTTACCAGGTGCACAGGCCCCCAGTTTCATGTGTGTATGATTTTGAACATATTACACCTTTTCGATTTTCTTCCTTCCTATTCACAAATAGTTTGTTACCAAGTATTGAAAATCCTAAAATTTTATAATTTCTTCACAATTTTCACTAGAGAAGGATGCTAGCAGTTAAGATATAAAGCTATTTTGTGACTTGAAAATGATTCCCTGCTGTTGGGGGGCAGTAAGCGCAATGTCCAGAGGGATGAAAAATGAGCGGCTGACGGGTCTCTTCTGGTTGATGTGTGCTGTTTTTCTGGCATCTTGGTCTGAACAGGCCAAAGTGCCTGGAGGCATGTCTGATTTAAAGGTGGTGTTGGTCTCTGCTCTTTAAGCATCTATTAACTTGCTATTATTATGCAAATAAGTGTTGTATTACACATACTAATTTATGCATGGTTAGATTATGCAGATGCATCACAAACATGGTTATTGAATAATAGGAGGGGGCGCCTTCTCCCTAACCATCTTTAGAAGCGGTTCTCATATTCTCCCAGTACCCAAGTGGACTTAAAGAGCCTTTACTCACTGAAATGTCTCTTTTGAAGCCTTCTTCCTTCACAGTTAAAAGTTATCAGATAAGTAGAAATGACCTGAGCTGTTAGATTTGAGGTGTTAGTCTCGCTTTCCAATGGGAAAGTCTCTTTGCTTAAGCATCATCTTTTTCCTTTAAAGAGAAAACCTAGAATGCAGCTACTTGGCACACACTAGCACGTAGTGAGATTTTGACGTATACAGTCACGCCACTCAGCTCTATAGGTAGCCCATCAGATTAAAGTCACATTGTCAAGATTTATAGTCATTTGAATATTTATCTTGTTAAGCCTCTTAAGTCTGTTGGTAATTTGTAAACAGTTCAATGTTTGACTAATTCATGTAATCCTGTAAAACTGTGAAAATGAACATGAGGCCCTTCATGACCTAACTCTTAAAATAGTCCTGATAACACTTATAAGCCATCTGATAAAGATTGAGGGCCAGCAAGATGGCTTGCCATGCAAACCTGATGCCCTGAGTATAATCCCTGGGACCCAAAGTGGGTGGTGGAGAAAACTGACTCCCACAAGTGACCTCTGACCTCCACACATGTGCCTCCCCCATAATAGATAAAATATTTTTTTTAATTTCGAAAATTGAAGTTGTAGCCAGATCCTTAAGGTCCCTAATAATATTCAGAGTAAGTAAGCAGTGACATTGGCTGAGTGAGAAGTCTGCTGTGTGGTTGTCATTGTGTGACCTTGAGCCCTTGAAAGCCACAGTCAGATTTGGAACAGGCAGGTGTTGCTTCACTGAATGACCAAGCACCCCTGTACTTGAGTTGAGTAGATGGTGGAAAATTCTAACAGGCTGAACTCCCTAACTAGCCAAAGGTCTGTATAGCAAGGGGTTATTCCTTGAAACATCGTAGAATGCTGTCACCAAAATGATGCTTTTACTTCAGATAAAAGCAGCCTTGATGCCATCAGGTCCTTCCCAGGTCTTTCATCAGAAGTTGGAGTGATTCACTACTGACAATCAGTAATGACTTTCAGTGTGATTCACATTTACTGTACAGGCTTTGTGTTCTCGATGAAAGGTTGGGGAAAGATCCTTTGTAAATGCCTTCCAGGAGCACTTGCTACTCTTCTAGAAGAGCAGGGTTTGGTTCCCAGCACCCATGTTGGGCAGCTCAGAACTGCCTGTAACTCCAGCTCCCGGGGATCCAGTGCCGTCTCCTGGCCTCTGCAGGCGCCTGCTTGCATGTGGTGCATATAAACTCACACAGATACACACATGCATAGAAAAATCAATCAATCAGTGTCTCCCCTGCTCCTTTCTCCTTCCCTCATATGGGACAGGTAAAGGCAAATGTATGTTCCTGAGGTGTTGCAGAGACTGAATCATGAGAGCACACCTTCACCTTGTCCCATGCTGCCACACTTGAACTCCTGTGTGCTGTGAGACAGCCTTCCTGTGTCACATAAACAGTCACCATTGCTGACTGCTGAACTGTGACTGATTTGCTAACATTAACTCTCAAGTGGAGTGGGTAGGAGTGAGTCATAGACTCTGGAGTTGAAAAGCATTGTGAGCATCATTTAGTCAAACCATACCATGGTATCTACAAAGCAGATGGCCCTGCCTTTGACCGTCTTGAGTGACTGAAAGCTCAAACATTACCCAGCAGTCCTTTGTCCACCACACTGAAGACTCTGGCATCCTGAGTATGGTCCTGGAACACTCAAGTTGTGTCCTTTTGAATCCCTCCATCCCTTGCCTGGGGTTAGTACCAGAGAATTGCTGTTCTGAACCCAAAGTCAAATCAAGGCCCCACACTGGTGCTCTCTTCCTTAGAGGTCAGTTGAGAACACAGAGGTGAGTCAGAAGTTGCATCAAAAGAATCAGCTCGACCACAAAGTCTCCAGTCCTTCACTCTTGCTTTGTAAGTTTCCTGAGCCCTTGTCTTCCTCATCCCTGAGAGAACAATCCTGGTATCTGCCTTCTCTTTCTGATGTAAGAGGGTGTGCTGCTCAGATGAAATGATGGATAAAAGCCACTTAGGAAAGTACAAAGAGGCCCCAGTGCCACTGTGGCCCACAGTGCAGGCTGTAGCTTGAAACAGCGTTTGCCTCTTAAGCACCTTTAACCCCACTGGAGCCCAGGGCAAAGCTGGAAGGGGCAGCAAGCTTCCAGACTTCCAGCCCAGCCCCAGTGCTGCTGACAACATCTTTAGCAGTCCCTCTTCCAGTTGGTGACAGGGTGTATCGGGTGGGGGTGCAGATGAGGGAGGAGGGCTTGGACATGATAGAGTCAGTGGCCAGGGACAGTGTCAGTGAAAAGGCTGGATTTCTTAGAGATCCTCCTTCTGTGTGAATGTCATTGTTTTGTGTAGTCGGGTGTTTGCTGTTTGGAAACACTTGCAGGGTTTCCTTTAAGCCTTGGAGCAGCCACAGGGTCCTGGGGATACAGTCTGGCTTCTAAGAAGAAGGGTTTGGGCCCTCCAGTACAGCAGTTTTCATCATTGCCGCTGTTAGGAAGACAGTGGTGGGTTGGAGATGTGATCCAGTTGGTGGAGTGCTGGCCTAACTTGCCCCAGCATCTGGGAGGTGGAGACAGGAGGCTGAGATTCCAGAACGTCATTGGCCATGCAGCCAGTTTGAGGCCAGCCTGGGATACATGAAACTGTCTCTTACAAAAAAAAAAAAAAAAAACAATGGAATGAGGTCTTGAAGTCACCCAGCACCTTCCCTACCCAGATCTCCTGAGCACTTTTTATGACTGGTCCCAGGTCCTACATCCCACCCCAGGGAACTATTATTTCTAGCCTCCCAGTGAACAGGCCACACACCTCATCTTAAAAAGGACTAGGGGTAGTAAGTCTAGGACTTGGAGGCATTTAAACTCAGTGACTAGCTGTTTCATGTCACCTCGGCTTGGTGGCTGTTCATAGCTCTTCCCCGCCTCCTCCCCGTCCCAGACAGTTCACCAAGCCCTCCTCTCATTCAGCTTCCCTGCCAGAGGGTACAGGGAGAATGAGCAGCATGGGCTGTGCTGATGTAGATGACAAGGCTATTCTCTAGAGCCCTTTTGCTTTTCTTGTTATGTGTTTAGTAGAGTGACAGGAGGATGCAGATGGCCTTGGAGCCCTCACCAAACCCAGTGCCCTGAAATTCTAGGTGCCTGTAGAGTGTATTCCATAATGAGATAGCGAGTATTTGCTTTTTGCAACATCTTACAAAGCTAATTCCATTGAAGAATTCAGCTTTGATGGTGATCTGGAAAGATCTGTAGGTCTAGACAACAAGGACTGGAGCATATATAGTTGGTCATGTAGATCCAAAGTCAGTTGACTTAAAAAAACATGGCAATAGGCAATGGTTTGTTTAATGACACCATAATTTGGGAGAAATGAAAATGATTGCCCACTAAACATTGTCATCCTTCATTCAAACTCTACGGTGAGGCCCTGCATTTGGACAATGGTAAATCCATTAGGGAGACCTCTCAGGAGCCAGCCCCACTAGGGCACCAGGGGACTTGGTAGGCAAGATGCCTCAGGAGAGTGAAGCTAACACAGATAAAATGTGTTTAAAGTACTTTTGCATATATAAAAATATTGTTCTTGTTTTGGCTACAATTCCTGATCTTGGCTAATAAATTACATCAAAATGACCCCGAGTTAAAAAGGGGGGGTGGGGAGGATCTGAGCAAATAGTGCCCCTGGTATTGTAAAGCTTTGAATGTTTTCACACCCCATTAATTTATTACTTCTCTTTCTTCATCTTTAAATTTCATTTTTTTTTTCAAAAATTCCGACTCCCCGCTGCTGCAGTGATTTCCATCTTGTTGTTAATTTCCCCTGCTCCATATGGAGCTCCAGACATTTCACCTGGAGGCTGTACTAGATTTTGCTGTAGTGATCCTACTTCCGGAGGCCAAAACTGTCATTTAGGGTTCCTGGTGCATCTGTCGGCGCCAGGCTTTTCACTGGCATGGGAGAGTGTGAATAACAAATTGGATGCACCTGAGATTCGGATGATTAGTGTGCGCTGTG